TTAATTTATTTATATATAAAAAAATAAATATTGAATCTGACAATATTGAATTGAATGTCTACTTTTATTTTATTTTTTTATCTCATGTCATATGGAGTAGATGTCCCTATAGTTTAGGCTCTGGTACTTCTTGTTGGAGCTCGATATAGGTAATTTTGAAATGGTTGACCTTCTAAATTAATAACAAAACCGTATAAATGAATATGAGAGAGACTACGTATTGATAAACTATATATATAATGGGTTATTTGGGAAACTAGGATATGCAAATCCTTCTTTTGCATATCGGCAAGGTCATTTGATTATAGTTTGGGATAGCATATTTAGGATATTCACATCCTCAAAACATCTTCATATTCTGTATTTTCTCATTCCAAAAAAAAAAAAAAAAAAAAATTAGAATGAGCAAATTCAAGCTTTTAGGAAAAATAGATTTTGTATTGCCTTTTTCTTTTTTTTGCTTCCCACTCTGTAGTAATGATATTATTTTATATTTATAATAGTCATCTCATCTTGTTACTATTATTATTATTATTGTTATTGTGGCGATGGTTGTTGTTGTTGTTGTTATTATCATCATTATTTTTTCCATTTATTATGAGATAATCATCAACATAATTGATATTAGTATTATTACAATATTATATTACACCATAATAGTGAAATATAATATATGATTATATTTTTATTACAATATAATATTATTATCTTAAGATAGTGATTTCGTATTATACTAATAATAAAAATATTTTTTTTATTTATTATTAATTATTAAATTAATAAATACCTATTAATTTATCATAATATTGTTACAATATTATACTAATATTATCACAATATTTATTATTAGAATTTTAATTTATTATTAAAATAATTTACGATAATATATTATAATAATATTCTTATGATTACAATATTTATTTATTTTATTATAAATTTACTATGATATTTATTAATTTATTACAATATTATATTACTATTGATAAAATAATTTTATATTATTATATAATTATTAGAATTTTATATAATGGGTTATGTTAGGTGCCCATACTATGAAGTAATTTATCATTTTTCTCAACAAAATTGGGTCACATATATACCTTTGTTTTATATATGGAGTTTTTAGTAAGGGCATTTTTGGTAATTAAGAGGGGCGTGAAGTCATCTACATGGGATGTGACATCATCCATATGGAGCACTCTAGTGGTATTTAATGCTCCATGTGGGTCATGTCACACCCTATGTGGATGACGTCATACTCCTTCTAATGACTAAAACTATCCTTATTAAAAAAATACTCCATGTACAAACCATATATAATTATTTATGTGCATTATTGTTGTTGTTGTTGTTGTTGTTGTTTTTTGTTGTTGCGTTGTTGTTCTTATTATTATTATTGTTATTGTTGTTGCTGTTGTTGTGAAATGAATGGCTAAACTGTTTTAACAATAAATTTTTAAAACCTGGGTTTCAAATTAGTAGATCTAGACATGAGATTTGTCAAATATTGGGTTTTATAGAAGATAACCAAGTAGCATTGTTGCTAAAACCAGGGTTTACATATGCTAGAATTTGCATACCTAGGTTTTGAGGCATATCCAAAATTTGAGTATTCAGGGACCCAAACAACCCATCAGGAAGTAGGTTGTTCAACATGTGAGACCTGCCAAGAGAAAGATGCCCCCATCTATGTTTGCATAGATGGGGGCAACCCAAAACGTCATAACGGAGCAGGTTGTTCAAATATCGTGCATGTGAAAAGTCTTAGGTTTTTCTAAAGAGACTCCCTATGTCCATCAATCAATATGACTATACAAGCTTGTCTTATATAGATTAATATATATGAAAATAATATAAATAAATCACAGACACCTATATTATATCCAGACTTATCATAAAAATACAAGATATTATACCTACTCTTCTCAGATATATTGATTAAAATATACATCTTCCATATTAGCTTGTTAGACAATATATACTTTCATTTCCCACTCTCCCTCAAATTAAAGATGCAATGAGAGAGGGCAATTGGATTTTGAACGCTAAGTTGCAGAAATAAGCAGTTGAATCTTCAGATGCATAGCTTAACCAATAGAAGTAGTGGTTGTCATACTCAAATTACTTGATCAACAAACACAGAGGAACAATAGAATAGGGTAGGCTCAAGTAACGACAAATCAACAAGCCTCAGAAACAGACAGTTAGAACAGAGTAGGCTCAAGCAATAGTAGATCAACAGGCTTCGAGAACAAACGACCAGAACAAAGTAGGCTCGAACCATCAAATAAAAACTTCAGATCTTTGTCGAAGATAGAAAAACAATCGAGACTACTGAAAAAACAGAATGGCACATGAAAGAGCCAACAAAGCTCGGTGCAAAACCAAGAGCCATTCAATAGAATCAAACATGATCAAGTAGCACAATGGAATTTTTTTGTATTTAAAATTTTGAATAATTAGTCTGATATAATCTTTGAAGTACTAAAATAATAAAAATTAGAAATAATTGGTAGCAAAATAATATGGAATAAAATGTAGTTTCTTTTTAACTATTTTTTGTAGAAAATTGTGCATAATTTTTTGGTGCACTTTCAAATTGTTAAAATATTTAGAAAAACATAAATGAAACCATTTGATACAAAATAAAAATAAAATAAAAATCTAATTTTTATTCAATATAAAAGGTCATAAATACACACATAAAAATATAAAAAATTGATCAAAAAACTTGAAAAGATATCTACAAAGAAAATATAATCTATTCAATTTTCTTAGCATGCCTCTTACATGTAGGAGAAAGCCAAAAGAAAAAAAAGGAAAAGAACTAAATTCATTTCCTCACAAAATGAAATTCACTAAATTCTTTTCCTAAAAATTGAATTTAATTTATTTAATTGGAAGGATACCCTATTCTATACTTCCTTTATTTCAAGGACATACGCTCTACCATATCTCTTGTGACACCCAAGCCATCCGATTTCACATCGGATGGTTATAGGTGATTGTGTCCTCCTTATATCTAAGGTGAATGGTTTCATAGTATACAATCCTTTTTCCCTTTTTATTGGCCTGACTAGCAAGGATTTTGATAATCGAGGTTGATATATATAATTTAAAAGAAGATGGTATAAAGATTGCAAAGAGTCTTACACTAATTAAGCAATGTGGACTACTTTTAAAATCTGTAAGTGTTATCCTATTGCAAATTTTAATGGGACAATTTTCATTTATTTGAACTTTGAATAAAAATAAGAATAAAATAGATATCATGGTGTCTTCAAGTGAGATTAGGTTGCCACTTCGATAATATCATGGCGTCCTCGTGAAAAATAGGTTGACCCCTTGATCACTTAAGGGCCTTGGAATAAAGTGCACATACAAAAGTAATTCCCCTTGACATTCCTCTCAATCTAAACGAAGGCCTTTTCTATCCTGAATCTCATGTGCAATTATCTACAAGAATGTTAAGTTTTGTGTTTCTTGAAAAGTCAGTGTTTCAAATATGTAGTCTGCATAATATTATCCATAATTCCACATTAGAAAGATCACCTACATCATATATCTTCTTAGAAAAAAAATAAGAGGAAATAAAAATATTCACTTAATCAGAAATGCCATAAAAACTTTGGTTACCCCCAAAGCTTTTTTTTTTTTTTTGGTAATCAGGCCCCTACCTTTTTTTTTAAGTAGATTAGGAATTAGCTTTTTGAAGATATTAGTAGGGTGGTGTTAGTGGTGGGAATGAAAACCTTAGATGTGGGATGCTACCACCACGACCCCAACCCCAAAGCTACTAGTGGACATGGAGCTTATCCATATCAGAAAACTTTTTGTCGAGTGTTTTTTAAAAACGACTCATGTTAGCCCAACAAGGGCTGGCGAAGGTCCTGGTTACTCTATGTTTTGTTAAAAAAATCATATATTGTTGCTTTATAGGTAGCTACTTTTTTTGTTCTTTTAAAAACTCATGTTTGTATCTGTTGCTTCATAAGCTTTGAGCAAAGGTTCTTTATGAGACCTTTTTAAGCCATTTGCTTCTCTTGAATGTGTTGAATCGCAAAACGTTTACGCATTGGGTCATCTCTGTTACTAAGCACAGTTAATGAAGACTTTCAGTAAGAACTAAGAAGCAATTGCTTCTTCACATTTTGAAGGAAACCTTTTAACCCAATGCTCGACTTAACAAATCAATTTGTGAATATATAATAATTTTGAGCTTCATAAAAGGAAAAAAAAAAGAACAAAGAAAAAAAAAGACTTGATGATTTTTTATCAAATGCTCGACTTAACAAATCAATTTGTGAATATATAATAGTTTTGACCTTCATAAAAAAAAATTGGTTATTTTGAAAAAAAGAAGCAAAACAATTGGCGAGCAATGAGAATCGGTTATCATATCTAGCACAACAAAGGAGCAATCATAAGCACTCGTTGGTCCTAATGATATCATTTATGTGGCCTTACCAAGCACAGTGAAGGAGCAACCATAGGCATAAGTTTGTCCATGAAGAAGAATGAAGATTAAGAACAATGAAAGCATACTTGGGATATCTTTAAGAGTCTGAAAGGATATATGAGATTGATGGAGTTTCAAAACTTTTTATAGAGAACTCTTTGTATATTGATGTATCAAAGAATATACAAGATTAGTATAAATATCCAGCCAGTAACAGTTATGGATAGATACCTATTATACATATCAATGACACCTAATCTTATAATAATCAAAAGATATATATTTATACAAGGACACCTAATCTTAGCAAGAGATACATATACATACAATATATAATACATTCAATACATATCCAGGCATACAATACATATCCATGCAATAACATCCTCCCTCAAACTAAAGATGCTTTTAAAGAGAACAACTGAAGTTTGGACAATAAGAAACATAAACGAATACATGAGTGGGCTTTTGTGAGAAGATCCGCTAATTGACCATTCAGAAGTACAAAGAGTAGAGTAAGAGTGCCCTGAAGAAAGTGATGTCGAACAAAGCGGTAATCAATTTCAAAATATTGTGTCCACTCATAAAACATATCATTATGAGTCATCTGAATGGCACTTGTCACAAAAAAGTGGACTAGGACCAGAGTGAACAACACCCATATCGTGAAGAATCCAGTACAGCTAAACAGTTTCAGTCGTTGTCCATTCAAGAGCTCTGTATTCAGCTTCAACACTAGATCGAGAAACAACCTTTTATTTCTTACTTTTCCACAAGATAAGTAAATCGTCCACTTTTCCACAGGATAAGTAAATCGCCCGAGAACACAAGAAACCTAGTAGTAGAGCTATGTATTCAGCTTCAACACTTGATCTAGAAACAACTTTTTATTTCTTACTTTTCCGCAAGATAAGTAAATCGCTCACTTTTCCACAGGATAAGTAAATTGCTCAAGAAAACAAGAAACCCATTAGTAGATAGATGCTAAGTAACATTTCATGCCAAGTCCACATCATAATAAGCACAAAGTTCAAGAGCAAAAGTGGAAGACATAAGCAGATCTTGATACAGGATATCTCGAACATAGCATAAGATGTGAAGTATAGCAGCATAATGAATAGAGCGAGGAGGAAACCTGAACTAACTAACTATGTGAACAACATGACCGATATTAGGACAAGTGATAGTTAAATAATTAAGACCTCCAACAATTTACATGTACCGGGTCAAATCAGAAAGCAATATACCATTTGTGAAGCGAACTTGACATTCAACTCTAGTGGAGTCTAAACAATTTTGTTGTCTGTGAGAGAAGCCCGAGATATGAGATCAGATGCATATTTTAGTTGAGATAGAGTATAGCCGTGAGCTAAGAAATAAGTTCAATGCCAAGAAAGTAACGAAGTCGTCCAAGGTCCTTCACTTCAAAGTACTTGTGCAAGTGCAGTTGAGCATTACGGATACCAGCATAATCACTGTCAGTCAATACCATATCATTGAACGAAAAGTGCATAATCATGAGGACTTTGAGTGAACCCAGTTGGATGATAACAAAGCAGAATTTCTTAAATCAAGCACGAGGTGCCTATTTAAGACCATATAGGGCCTATCAAAGTTTGCAAACTTGATTAGGTTGATGGGGAATACCAAGAGGATGTTTCATATAACCTTCTTCATGCAAGCCACCAAAAAAGAAGGCATTCTTAATATCCACTTGATACAAAGGCCAACCGCGAACAAAAGCTATGGCAATTACGATCCGTACTGAGGTTAGTCGAGCAATTGGTGCAAACTTTACTTCATAATCAATCCCATACTCTTGAGTGAAGCCCTTTGCATCTAAACATGCTTTATACCGCTCAATTATCTCATTGAATTAGTCTTAATTTTGTAGACCCATTGACAACTGACGATAGATTTTCCATGAGGTAAAGCAACAAGATCTCGGGTATTATTTTTTTTAAGGCATCTATCATAGCTTACTACTAACTTGGATCAAATACAGCTTTTTTGTATGTCTTAGGCTCATGAAAAGAAAGAACAGTAGTTAAAAAGCAATGAAAATCATGAAAATGCTGAGGTGCAGAGCGCACTCATGTAGGATAGTGACTCATGGAGGAGGAGGTTGCTCATCGCTATTAGGAGGTGCATAATTAGGATATGGCACATAAAGCTTAGGGTCAAATGAGACAGAGGGACTGATATCTCCATTTTGTTGTAAAGTGTCTTGAGGTGTGTCAGACAGAGCATTGGGTACTAAAAGGTCTCCTGAGGAGTCAATGAAGGGATCAAGAAAATGATTGAGCTCATGAGATGAATGGGAGAGATGGCGAAAGCATGACAGATACCCTTTCTTAGAAAGTTACGTGGTGTGAAAGAAGAATTTTTTGTGAAATGGGATTATAACACCGAAAGCCTTTTTGCTGAACGCCATAACCCAAAAATACACATGGCTAATTTCTTGGACAACTTTTTTTGTTCATCTTTAGGTAAGAGAACAAAACAATTTGATCCAAAAACATAGAGTTGAGAATAATCAGGAGTAGAGGAATAAAATTGCTCAAAAGGAAACATGCCAAATGATGGGATACTATTGATGACATAAACAGAGGTATTTATTGCCTCTCCCCAACAAATTTTGGAATTGAAGATGAAAGCAACATGGTATGAGCAGTCTCAATGATATGGCAATGCTTTCATTCTGCCACACCATTTTGTTGTGGTGTATCAGGATATGACAATTGAGCCAATGTTCCATGAGAGGAGACTTCTAAATGATTTTGACAAATATTCTCCACCAGAATCAGAACAAAAAATTTAATGGATTTTGAAAATTGGGTTTGATCATGGTAGATAATTCATTATAAACATGATAAAAGTCAAACTTAAAATGCAACATGTATACCAAAGTGCACCAGGAATAATCATCAATAAAAATAATGTAACAATGATCCCTCCCTATAGATGAAACAGAAGTGGGACTCCACAAATCAGAATGCATGAGATCAAAAGGAGAAGAAAAAACAAATTCATTAATAGGAAATGTAAGTGCAGTATTTTTTGCCAACTTGCACCAACATACAAATAATGCAACCAACAATGTTGGTGGTCTGTATAGAGCCCAACTTACCAGTTGACATTAAAAACTTAAGCCGAGGAAAAGAAACATGACTAGTCTGTTATGCCACATTAAAAAGGAAGATATTGAGGTAGCTGAACCAGCGAGTAGCGAATCCCCAAGATGTTGTGAAACATGTAAGTCCTCTAGATTGAATAGTTGACCAACCCATAGTTAGCAAGTTGGAGAATATCAATATATCGGTTCACCATAAAATAAAAAATAAATCGTTTTTCTTTTCAAACGTCGGATGAAAAAATCGTGTCAAAAATACGGATTGGCACAAATACTTTATGTAAAAATGTCACAAATAGACCGGACTAAGCTCAAAAAATTGGAGTGAAACATACGGATAAGTTTAAAAAAGGGGCACCATATTTATGCTAACTATGCTAACACTATAGTCATTAAACTAGCTATTCTAACTATGCACTATACTAACTATACACCATTACTAACTATACACCATACTAACCTTACTAACTATACACCATACTAATTATATCAATATGCACCGTACCATCCTTTTGTACTATATTTACACTTTTAGAGAGAGAAGTCGAGAGGGGATTGACCATTTCCTTTGAGAGAGAGAGAGAGGTGGCATAGGAGAAAGAAATGTAGAGGGAGAGAGATAGAGGTGGATGCAGAGAAAGAAATAGAGAGAGAGAGAGAGAGAGCAAGGGTGTGGGTGACCACGGATCTCTCAAAGGAACACAAAAGAGCAAACAAGGTGAACTTCCTTTGAATCAGAATGGTGTTGTCATTTTGTAGTAGATGGTGTACTTCTTGTGAAGAAAATCAGATGGGAATCATGCTGTATTTTTTAGTCTGATGGAATGATCAGGTTTAGGGAAAAGCCCTTTGTATGTTTTTACTTAGTTTATTTTTCTTAACATGTTCTTTGAGCTATGTTAATTTGGGGATTTTTGAGTTACGTTAAAATTGGGGATTTTTGATGTGATTTCGAAGTTCTCTATCAGATTGTTCCTCTATTTTCCCTAATCTATTTTTTCCTAATTTCTTTGAAATGTTGTTAAATTTAGAGATTTTTAAAAGCTATTGTTAAATCTATACTTCAATATAAACAGTGGTTCTCTTTCTCTAAAGCTTGCATTATAAACAGTGGTTCTCTTTTTCCTCTCTCTATATCTATCGATCTCTATACCCATCAAGCATTTGTGATGTAGTTCAATTTGAGGACTTTTGAAACTTATTTATTCTCTGTTTTTTCCTAATTTCTTTGAGATGGTTATCTTTCTCTCTGTGTACCCATCGATGAGATGTTCTCTATCACATGGTTCTCTTTGCGTGTACCATGGAGGATTATTAATAGAAATTTTTTTTTGAACCGACTTCTTATAAAAATTAAAAAATCATGTATTAAACTTCTTCATGAAGAAAAAGTGATTTTTTGACGCTCTTTTGAAAAATACCCAGTTTAAAATGTTTTTTTTAAAAACTTCGATTGCGTTTAAAATGTCGATTTGCTAACTATGGACCAACCTTACATCCTGTCCCAATTTGCTTTCCCCATCAAGTGATCCTACACAACAGAACTAGAGCAGGATAAAATAATGTCAAAATCTTGGTGAACAACTGCCCTACAAAAATGAGATTCATTGATAGTTTGGGAACCATGAAGACATCAAGAAGTGATAATTGAGAGAATGCTATTGTACCAATATTTACAAACATAACAGAACCACCATAAGTATGGATTAATAGATGATTAGTAGCAAAAATAGGAGAATACAAGAAACTAGAATCAAATGATATTTGGTTAGAAGCACCAAAATCAATGAGTTAATGTTTTGTACCTGAGGTTCCAAGCAAAGCATATGCAACAACAAATGCATTACCTATACCACAGTGAGTCCTAGTGCAATGCCATAGTGAGTCCTAGTGCAATGGTTTTCTGAACAAAGGGTTTTTTTTTTATTTAACTGGACAATAAATTTCATGTGTCAATACTGTTTGCAATAATTGCATTGAACTTTGGACATATCATAGCCGGTCCTTCCAGTCGCAACTGAAGAGGACGAGGTCGGTAGAGCAGTCACAGGAAGATTTGTTGGAGCCAAAAGAACAGATTCTTCATTTACAAGAGAATTGACAAATCTTCCCTTTTGTGTTTCTTCAACCATGAGCTCAGAAAGTACATAATCTACATATGGAAGAGGAGTGCGGTAAAGAATAGATGATCAAACAGATTCAAAATCATCTTGTAAAGTCATTAAAAATTGGACCAAGTGCATTTCTTCTCTATGCTTTTAATAATTTCAGCATCAACAAACTATTTGGGTTCCATTATAACTGAAATTTGAAAATGAAAATCAGAGATAAATCTCAAGTTTATATTTACAAGCAAAATTAGTTTGAACATGGCGAGAGAAAAGAAATTCTCATAGCTCTTTGGCAGTTTCAAATATTCCAAATTCCATACTAATTGATGGTTTAATAGAGTTGACAATCCATGTGACAATTTTATGGTTGTTTATGTCTTCATTCTTCTAATTTATATTCAAAATCCTTCTCCTTTTAATGCGTTAGATGCTTTGCGATATAATTTGTCACCAGTGATATATTTCCATAGCCATTTCTCCTTAAGAGAACTCTGCATAAGATAGGACCAATGACTATAGTTCGATCCATCTAATTTGACAATAATAATTTGAACTGAATTAGAGGAAGTCAATGAATTTTCTTTAAAAAAGAAAAGGCAACCTAAAGCAATATAATCATGAATGTTACCTTCGTCTTAGATGGAGGCCCCTCAAAAGCAATGGCGTAGTCACAAAGCCAAGGCGAATGAGTTTACAGATCATAGACAGAGAAAGCATTGAGCAATGGCACGGTCGCAGAGAGAGAAGCGTGTCACTTCAATTCAGCCATTTGCCCCTTCAACTGTGATTTCTACGGTTACCAGGATGAATTGTTATGGGCAGCAGCATGGCTCCACATGGCCTATAAGAATACATAAAAACAAGCGAGAAGGTCTTGGGTGCGGATGACACCATCAACGAGTTAGGTTGGGATAATAAGCACGCTGGTTGCTCGGTCAAGACTGGTATGACGCTCTATGGTATTGGGGCTCCTCTTATCATTTGATATTTTATATTATGTACTTCTGCAGGCTTTAAAGAAAGGGAATTGACGGACAGTGGAAAAATGGCTCAATAGAAAGAAGGAAGGAAGGAATGGGGTCTCACGATCGATGGGGTTGCTAGAGTGTTGGTGCTCGATAGAAATCGGTCAATGAGCGAACTGCGTTAGGAACAATGGGTTTTGGCCCTTTTATGTGAAAATGAGGCGCACTTGAAGCCCTTGATGAGGCAATGGATTGAAACAGCTGAATGGTTGTTATGGAACTACTTGATAGTAGGGCTCAGATCAGAGTCACTGTAGAGGTACAGATCAATCCTTAGGTTGTTGGTTCTATCCGACAGTAGGTCTGACAAAATCTATGGCTCTGATTCCGAGTCTCAGAATTTCTACAGGAAGCTCTCTCTATATCCATGTATCAAATAATATGCAAAACTAGTATAAATATCCCGCAAGTAACAATTATAGATACATATCAAATACACCTAATCTTGTCCTAACCAAAAGATATATATCCATAAGAAAACACTTAATCTTAACAAGAGATGCATGTCCATACATATCCACCTAATTTTAGCAAGAATAGGTATCCACACATACAATACATATCCATGCCATAGATGAGGTTTCTCTAAATGAAGGCATGTCTTCAAATAAAGGATGGGGAGAGTACAAGATTATACTTGGGGTTGCAGACGAAGAGAGAGAAGAGGCATGTGTAGAGAGAGAGAGAGGGACCTCGAGTAGGGTAGAGAGCGGGAATGGGCTTGGGTAAAGACGAGTTGGGGTAGAGAGAGGGTATCAGCTGGAGGAGAGAGAAAGAGAGAAGAGGCTTGGATAGGGACGTGTTGGGTTTGAGAGAGAGAGAGAGAGAGAGGGTTGAGAGAGAGAGTGAGAAAATAATATGGGCCAAGGGTTTGAGCATGAGTGAGTGAAATAAGGGGGTGTTCTGTGTTTCCCCCTACCATATAAAAATGTAGCTCAGTCCAAGGGGTATACTACAGTTTTCCCTAAAATTGGGGAAAAAATGGGAAAGGCGGAGCCCCATCTTGCTCTGTTAATCTATGGCTTTCCCTATTCTCAAACCAGGGAAAAGGTCTTGAGAAAATAGGGTGTTTTTGCCTATTTTCTCAGCTACCAAACAAGACCTATTGTGCAAACTTTGCTTTAAAGAGAGAGGAAAGTAATGTTTTTGACACAGGTACCGCGTATTCAAAACTTAACATCGAGAAACATTGCAATGATCCAATCTATGAAGGTTCCCAAAAGTTTTCAAGGGAGGATTAACGGTGGTGCGTGAGTTGAATAATGGGCTGGCAATGGGCCTGGTTGAGCTGGGGCAGCCCCGGACCTAGCTCGGCCTAGTCGTTTTGGGCCAACCTAGTCCAGCCTTGACCTGGCCAAAGAGTTAAAGGCCAGGCTGGACCTCATAGACTTTAAAAACAAAAATAAAGGGAAAATAGGCAGGGTCGTCCCTCCCTTGGTACAGGCCAAGGCCCGAACCGCTCCAATCTCATGGCCTTGACTTAGCGCTTTGGGCCAGATTTTGTAATCCAGGCCCTAAAATTTTTAGGGTAGGCCCATTGAGCCCATTGCCATCCCCAGTGAATACGCATGGCCAAGGTTATCAAATGCAGTCTTGCATGGCAAGAGTTTTTGTGCTTTTTCTCATTTATTTCTCATTTTTCATCTTCTCAGAAGTCGGTAAGTGACCGGAGATCTTAGAAAAGGGAATCTTTACAATGTGATCGTACCCACAATTAAAGTGTGACTCATGTTTTTAGCCGCTTGATCTGAATGGACGACTGGGATTATTTTTAAATGGTATTTGATTTTTAATTTTTTTATAAAATATGTTTGAATTTTTTAATAAAATTTGGGTTGTGACTTCGACTGCCCTAACAAAAATTTTAAAAAAATTTATCTGACAAAAATAATAACAAAAAATTCTTACAAGTTTCATAGGTAATTTGGTTATTTTCCTCGTATCATGTGCCTCCCTGTCCGATGTATGTACACACCAAATTTCACTGCAAAATAATGCATAAAATGAAAATAAAAATAAAATACTTCAAGCCGTTGGATCAAGAAATGACACTCAAGTAGCTAAAAGTGTATATCACTGATTGTGCTCAAATTTCCTAGAAAAAAAGTCGAACTATCCGAAATCGTGAGATTTCACATACTAATGAGAGTGATTATCACAATTTATCAAAAGTTGCTACGCGCTTGTGGGGCTGTAGTCAAATCTCAACAAGAATTGGGCAGCTTCCTCTATTACCTAAGGGTACGGTTTGTATTGAGCCAAGGCTCTAAACAATCAAAATAGTGTCCGCCTTCAAATAGTATCAAAGAAATATGGTTTCAACACTAGAAATTTTTTACAAGCCTTAAAATATATTTTTATCTTTAATTATAAAATTTCAAGTTTAAAAAATAGTGTAGATTGGGTAAATCTATGAAAGCTTTAATAATTTAAAAATTGACGGTCCAAAAATATGTTACAAGATGTACTATTTCCAGAACTTGAAATTCATTTTTTGCTCAAATCTATATATCTTGATGTCGAGATGATCAATTTGAAGATATTTGGGCATCAAAACAACATTTTCTAGTGAAATTTTTAGGTAGGTTTTAATTTGATTGTTTAGAGCCTAGGCTCTATATAAACTTTCCCCTTTTACGTAATAAGGGATGACTTTTACGGGTCTCGGTAAACTTCCTCTGCACCCCCTGACGCTTGCCATGCAGTTGCCTACACGCGTCGCTGAACAAAAAAGACCAACATTTTATCAAGAGTGCATGTATCATGCTCCATCGGGAACATACTTAATTTCTGCTCTTTTAGCCCAAAAATCTATTTGGGATAATTTTTCAATCTGAAATTTTAGGAACCACTTAAAAATTATTAGATGACTATCTTTTAAAAAAAAGTACTTTTAAATTTGAGTTTTCTAATGCTTAAATCTCACCATCTAAAAATTGGATGGCCAATATTCAATCTCGAGACTATATTTTCTTCAAGTCCAAAGAGGATACAATCAAGAAATTTCTTTTATTGAGATTAATTTATGGGTCGAAGAGGTTACATCCTCAAAATTTGGGGTCCTAAATTAATTCTAAATAGGGTTTTACCTGAGAGAGTAAATAAACATTCTTCTCCTAAGGGAGTAGAAATCTTCAAAAACCATTCTAAAAGGGTTCTTATAGTGTAGACCGATTTGTTTTATTTTAGAGACTTTGAAACAATCGTTGTGAGATGTTTTCCGTCCACACGCGGCTGGAAAACTGAACAGGAAAATGGCTTCAAATTTACAACTCTGAATATGAAACTCCATGAGATTTTCACAGTAAGCAAAACCCTTCATCTAAATTGCAAACCAAGCCAAAATGGCTAACGATCATGGCAGAATGCTCAAACTAGGGGCCACCAAGCTGTTCATGTTTGCTCTCCTTCTCCTAGTATGTCGAGCTACAAGGGCCGAACCCATGAGCAATCAAGAGACAGTTGATGAGATTGGGGTTATCTTGGATTTGGGAACGCGTGTGGGGAAAGAGATAAAAACCAGTATGGAAATAGCCATTAGAGACTTGCGGGACTCCAGGAACTCAAGGGTGGTGTTGATGCACTTGAGGGACTCGCATGGAGATCCTGTTGAAGCTGCCTCAACAGGTAAGAAATTTCTACTTAGTTCCTCTTCAAATGGCATGGGGAGTTCCTATAATTTGAAGCTAAGAGAACAACCTTCCTTAACTAATAAATTAACTCAGTACTTGGGAAGGAATTAACAAATAAAATTCATGGAAGTGATGCCAATTGAAATTTGCTCAGTCCAACATCTGAATTTGAAATAATCATTCTCTTATTTACAATCCTTAAGTCACTAGGTAAATTTAGCAGGGTTGCTTAGAACCATGTTTTTGTGTAAACTAGTTGTTCCAAAACCACCTGAACTATCAGCTTATATTTATAATTTGTTACCTGACATTTCAAATTTTCACTTACCATATATCCCTCTCTAGTCTTGTATTTTAAATGCCAGATTAAAGTTTTAATTAATAAGTAAACTGTAAACTTACTATATGGCTGGGTAAATATATTCCTTCAATTGTTGAACTGAAGTTTAGGGAAAATTTTGAAATTGGATAAAAAATCTAGAATTGACATATACATGAGCCCGCATGGATGAACCATAACACCAAAAGCAATGTAGTTGTTTCCAATGGATGTTGCTACTTGTATGCACATTTTGCTGTGATAAACCTTCAATTGCACAGAAGCCTTGAAATGCTTGTTTCTTCAGCTTTAGATCTCATCAATAACCAGAACGTCAGAGCAATTGTGGGCTTACAAACAAGGAATGAAGCTGCTTTTGTGGATCAAGTAGCTACCACGGCACAGGTACCTGTGATCTCCTTCTCTCGTCCTTATCCTCCACCTGCAGCTTGCTATTTAACCCCAACCTTCCTCATCCACATGGCCAACAATGACTCACTACAAATGAGAGGAGTGGCCGCAATAACATCCTCTTATCAATGGAAACTTGTCAATGTTATTCATGATGACGCCGACTCCACTATTGTGATATTTCCCTTTTTAAATGAGGCCCTCATGTCAGTAGGAGCAAAGATTGTGCAACGATCAGTTCTTCCCACAAAAGCTTCATTGCATGACATGATAGGCACACTTAGAAAAGAGCTTCAAAGGTTGAGGGCAACCCAATGCCGGGTTTTTGTGGTTCACATTACTTCTATTGATCTAGCTAACTTGTTGTTTGTAGAGGCAAAGAGAATGGGGATGATGGAAAATGAATATGTGTGGCTTATCACTGACCCTCTTACTGCCCTTCTCGACTCTATGGATTCAGCTACCATTTCATTGATGCAAGGGGTTATTGGAGTCACAACTTCATTCTGCCATGAAACTCGAGAATTCTTTTCGAGGTTCAAGCAACAATTCTTATCAGAATATCCAGAGGAAGAAAGAGCTAATCCAAGCATCTATGGCCTCCGTGCCTATTATATGATCATGGTTCTTGCTCAGTCCATGAAGAGTGTTGGTGCCAAAAGAGAGAATAACTCCATCATACCATGGATCCAGTATCACAATGAAACAAAGAGAGCTTGGGATCTAAGGGAATCTCTTGATGGCCCAAGGTTAATCAAAGAGATCACATCCATTGTATCAAGAGGATTCAGTGGAGAGATAAGGCTGACAAATAAAGAGTTGCATAGCTCGATCATCCAGATCATTAACATAGTTGGAAAAGGCAGTAGAGGTATTGGATTTTGGAGTCCTGAGACAGGTTTCTCGAGAGATGAAATGGCTAGGGAAGGAAAAAGTACATCAATGAATACTATTCTTGCACCAGTCATCTTCCCTGGTGGCCCTTCTACAACATTTCCCAAGGGGTGGGTAGTGACAAGTGATGGGAAGAAGATGAGGATTGGTGTACCTAAAAGAAAAGGTTTTAAGGAGTTTGTGGAGGTGAAGCATCACCAGACTCTTAATAGGATAGAATTCAGGGGCTTCGTCATTGATGTTTTTCACAAAGTCTTAGATATTTTACCATATGAACTTCCTTATGAATTCATTCCCTATGATCGCTCATATAACGATCTTGTCTATGAAGTGTACCAAAACGTAAGCTCTCTCTCTCTCTCTCTCTCTCTCTCTCTCTCAATGTTACACTATGTCAGCAATATGAGTTATTTGATGGATGGATCATATTCATGTTGCAGAGGTTTGATGCTGTTGTGGGAGATGTTAACATCTTGGCCAATCGCTCACGATATGTAGAATTCTCACATCCATTTTCTGAGTCAGGGATTTCGTTGCTGGTCACTGTCAATGATGGGAAGCCACACAATGCATGGATGTTCATGACGCCTTTCACCATGGGTACCTGGCTGGTTACAGGTGCACTATTCCTTTACACATCAATAGTGGTGTGGTCTTTGGAACACGAGAATAATCTGGATTTTGGAGGTTCTCTATGGGACCAAATTGGCACAGTGCTCTGGTTCACGTTCTCAACCCTTTTCTTTTCTCATAGTAAGTTTGAATACAAGACAAAATTTGATCATTTTATTCCTATGTGAACAAGCAGGAATGTGAATGCCAGTTCAATCCTTGGATTTCTTAATCATTTCAGTCGGAGCATTAACATGGGTTTTAAATAAGAAAAAACATGACGAAGAAATATGTCATAACTTTGCACTTCCCTTCAAAAGTTTTGACTGTTATCGTTTATCCATGAGCTACATACAATCTATGGGTATTTAAGAAAAAAAAGAAGCATGTCTGCGACTGTAGACGCTGAACCAAACATATGCACGAAAGTGTGGCAGTTGGGTAAATCGTATAGGATAATAAACCTCCAAAGGGCTTATGCTACATTATAAGCCATGGTCGCGTGCGCGTGTGCACGCACACATACACACATATACGAATAGGATAGATAATTCAAGCTAGGCCCAAACCAACAAACTCGAGGTTTGCCACAACAAGGGAAATTTGTCAGTTTCAGCTCCACCAAGTATATATTTAGGGAACAGATAGTAGATTACTTGTCTGTGTGTGGTATAGCATATGCATGATGTAAGTTATACATTCCGAAACTTGAGAAATACTGGTATGTGCATATTAATTTCAATGACCTCAAATTGCATGGACTGAAGTCCGATCCCATGGAAACCATTGAAATCCCTAAAATGAACTGGCGATGTTGCAGGGGAAAACATAAAAAGTAGCCTCTCAAGGGTGGTGATCGCAATATGGTTGTTTGTGGTGCTAGTACTGAGATCAAGTTACACTGCTAGCTTGGCAAGCACATTCACTGTTAACCGCTTGGAACTCACAGAGATAACCTTAGAATCCTTACTGAGAAACAAATCAACTGTGGGCTGCCAACGTTCTTCCTTTGTGCCACAGTACTTGGAGGAAGTGCTAGGGTTTGATCCTGTCAATATCAAGGAAATAACAACTGCAGATGAACTTTCAGAGGCTCTATCTAATGGGACAATAGCGGCAGCTTACATGGAAGTCCCATATATCAGAGCCTTTCTCTCCCAAAATAAATGCAAAGGATTCACCATGGCAGGGCCCACATACAGGGTGGGAGGACTCGGATTTGTAAGTTTTTTTCTGTCTCTTCAGTTCTACTTAGTACAAGATCACCAGGGTATTTTAGTTATCATTAATATTAAGGTGTAAATACAGAACTTCAAGCACATTTTGGTAAACCAGAATGTTAGATGTTTTATAATTTTGTGTTGGGGAAATTGGATACTGTGGTAGCAGTGTGCTTGGTTTCCCAGGAATCATCTGCAATGACTTTCTCTCTCTCTCTCTCAAGAGATATGGTGATGCTAAGCCAAAGTTTGTTGCACATTTTTTAAAAGAAAATTAACAATGGATACATTCTTTGGGGTTGTATACAATGAGACTATATAGCAAAGGATATTGAATGAAGCATTTGGTTGGGAATCAGAAAAAGTATTATATTATGCCCAATCTATCAATTCACAATTTCCAGCTGCAATGTAATGCATTAGACTCGGAGCGTGCAATGTAATGCATTTGACTCGGATCGTTTGTTCTATTTTTTTCCTTCTAATGTTATTATTTGGAAGTGTTGGCTCACAGCTAGGGCTTTACAAAAGGTTTGTAATCCAAGTACTACTCCTACACAGGCATCCTAAGTTCCTAACTTCAGTGGATCCTAAACTTCCATACTAATTTAACTTGAACGGAATGGTGACCTAGATTTATCAAACAAAAAGAACAATTTTGGAAAAGACTAAATTGTGCCTTACATGTTAGCAGGCATTTACTCTCGGATCACCTCTTACCTCTGATGTTTCTAAAGCAATACTAAGCATAAAAGAGAGTGGGGAGATGCAGTATTTGGAGAGAAAGTGGTTATACTCCACCGAGTGCTCAAAGGTTACTGATGTAAATGATGATGATGACAGCCTCAGCTTGGACAGTTTTTGGGGTCTCTTTCTCATCACAGGTGGTACTTCAACAGTAGTCCTCTTACTCTTCGTCGTGAATTTGTTGCATGGTTATCGACACCTTGAGAATGTGGAAGATGCTGGAGGAAGGGCAAAGAGCATGTGGTACTTCATGGTTGCATTGTCTAAATATTGGAACCATAGATTGGTTGCTTTGTCATTCATTTATACCAGAAAGTCAAGCTAATTGGGGAGTTTACTTGTAAAGGTTAGGGTTTCTTATAAATTTGTTTTTACACGTTTAAAGACAAAAACAGAAAATGATAAAGGCGATCTCCACAGATTCAAATATGTGAGCTAGAACCTTGTTATTAATGTTGAATAATAAAAAAATAATTAAATATTCTGGTATAATGGAAGTTATTAACGGCTCTGTCCCAGCCCGCTCTAATGGACAGGGTACAATGTACAGACAAAATCACCTGATATGGTGAAATGTTAACGATTTTGCTGTATTTCGACAGGATGGTTGGAGTTTCTTAAAATTTGAAAAAGCAAGAGAAATAAACCCTTTATTTACCATCTTTTCAAAAAATTGTCTACTCTTTGCATTAGACGCTTGTCATTTCTTGAAGTTATTGATAAGTTAAAAATAGGACCTATGTAATATCTGTTATATAAAGTCTGTTACATCCGATATTTTCCAAATATCTACCGTTAGAAAGCTAAATTTGAAAAAATAATTGTTATTTTCCTTTCCTTTTAAACCCTAATATATCAACTGCTACCTTCATGGAACAGTTCAGGCCCCAGCCGCTCCAAACCTGTATAATGGTATTTTAAGCATTGCTTTCATCTAAAGGCCATATGGCAGGAGCCTTCCTGAAACCCAAAAATTGAATAGAGTACCTAAAAGTTTTTATAGGAACTTGGATTAATATTTCTGCCATAGAAAGGAAAAAAAGGCACAGAGATATGGTATTTCTGTACCAAGAACCATTTCTACAGAGTAAAAATCAATATCTTTGTGCTTTTGCAAAAGTTGTAACCAATTTGATTCTTGCCCCTCAATCACGAGGGCGCAGGACAGCAAGCACCTTCCTATTCGTATGTCACCATTCACATGCCACTACTAGTCTTCCTTTTGAAATTAGCTTGGTATTTTACACGCAAAGTTCTTGTTTCTATGTTAGGGTAGTTGATTTGGAGTAAGAAAGATAGTTACTAGTAAATCGAATAGAAACTTACAAGAACTACATATCAGAGTACATAGACTTCATCAACCAGTTAAACTGGTTGAGGTCTACGTTCTTCCAAGAAATGAACTATCAGCAAAGTGAAAAAGCAAGGATTTGGGTCGGGACTCCTCATAGACTCGGCCAAGTTTATACCAAAAACATAATAATAAATTATTAGGAATCAAAGGAAGAATATGATAAAATATTGAAAGCCAGTTCCCAAATGTTTGGTTTCGAGTTCGGCAGGGTGCAAAAACCGATGGTCCAACTGGCAAAAACTAGTCACCTTGCCCAGTTTCCAAATGTTTGATTTCGAGTACAAAAGCTAGTCAAACATTTATTTTAATTAATTTTTTTACCAAATTATATCCCCGATAGTCGAGTCAGGTCTTGATAACCATATCAACAACTATTGGGCAGTCCAATGTGTCTCAAACAACCCTCGTTGAATAAAGGGCTCTATGAGCATCGCTAGGAATCCCTAGTATTGCTTGATGTTCTGAGTTAGGTGGCTACACCTACGACAGGTGAGCTACAAGTTTTTTGGCCCTTTGGCATAGGGTCACACATTAGAGAAGGGATATACTATTAAGCAAGACCAAATGACTGTTGACTGCATATCAGAGGGGTTGCCTTATGCTTTATAGACCTCTCACACATGCTCCCCACATGGTGAAGTCCAACAGTAGATGAACACAATGTGCTCTCAAAAGTACTGATAGAAATGGCCAAAACTATGGGTACAGCTCACACAGATAGCATTCATCGGGGCCGAGACAATGATTTGTGTCTTAGGATATAGATATCTCGGGTCCATATTGATATACATCATTATGGATGTATAGGTATATATCTCTTGATAAGGTTAGGTATCTAGTAGATGGAGACCCAATTACTTGGTCATCAAGTTATCAAATCATATTTATTTCATGTAATTATGTGATTGTCATATATATATATATATATATATATAGAGGAACTTATTGATGTAAACATTTACCCAAAATAGTGAAGATGTAGCCAGTTGGGCTTTGGATCCGTGGATGTAAAGCTTCGGCCTGAACCACGTAAATGTTGTATTCTCTTCTTTTCTCTCTATTCTCCATTCAATGTCTGCATATGTATGCTCCTACAAATTATATCAGAGCAATTCGGCTTCTAAAGCCTCATTCTCATATTGCACTTCCTCGAGGTGATCGTTGATGATTGTAACAATGTCTTGAAAATTTTAACGTCTTTATCGAGGTGATCGTTAAACCCTTTTTTAGCCTTTCATACGCAGCGGCCCTTCTCTGTTGAAGAGAGAGAAATGTTCAAAGCAAATCGATTACTTTAATCTCTAAAGTACTATCTCTATCGATTTTGGGGCTCTGTAGTTATTCCTAAGAATATTTGTCCTCTCTGTTTCTTGTAAATTTGATTAATGTTCAGATTAGGGATTCAGCGTGTTTCATGTTATAGAGGGAGAGTTTTATCAATGGATGGTAATAAGGACGCGGCATTGAGATGTGCTGGTATTGCAAAAGCAGCTCTGCTCATGGGTGACAAACTTCAAGCATTGAAATTCATTGGAATAGCTCGAAGGCCTGATCACAATTTACCTCTAGTTCATCTTTTTGCTGCTTGTGAAACCTTGGATGACTAGAGAGAGAAAAACTGAATGCCCTACTCAATCTATGGACTCGCGTAATGGAACTAAAAAGAGAATGGTTGGTGAAACTTGAAGATCTCTTCCTCATTATTAATTAATGGGCTTTTACTTTTGTACGCAATCGTTTCAAATTGGCAAGTGATGGAGCAGGTTTGAATTGATGGAGAGGAAAAGTAAGTTGTTTATGTGGAATCGGAGTTGAAATAATTTGACCAGGTTGGTTTCTTCTCAAAAAGAAAAAAAAACTTCTTCTCAAAAAAGAAAAAAAAAAAAACTTCCGGGTACAGAGCCGCCCAAATAGAAGCGCAAATAGAAGAAACAACCTTTCTTGGACTATGAACTTTCTTCTAGTCTATGTACTTTTCTTCTAGAGACTTCCTCTCTCTAAGGTCTTCCAAGAAACGACCTTGCTTGAGCTCTTTACTTTCTTCTAGAGACTAAAGAAAATGATCTTTCTTTCTCTCTTATTCGGAACATCCGGGATTGACGATCATATTTCATATTTGTGGGAGCATACATGCCTGGAGCATACATACACAGACATTGAATAGATAATGGAGAGAAAAGAAGAGAACACAATATTTATGCGGTTCAGACCGAAGCCTTACGTCCACGGATACAAAGCTCAACCAGCTACGTCGTCACTATTTTGGATAAATATTTACATCAATAAGTTCATCGTTCAACCGGCTACATCTTCACTATTTTGGATAAATGTTTACATCAATAAGTTCATCTCCCAACCGGTTACATCTTCACTATTTTGGATAAATATTTACATCAATAAGTTCCTCTTACGTCCACAGATCCAAAGCCCAACCTGCTACATCTTCACTATTTTGGATAAATGTTTACATCAATAAGTTCATCGCCCAACCGGTTGCATCTTCACTATTTTGGATAAATGTTTACAACAATAAGTTCCTCTTACGTCCACGGATCCAAAGCCCAACCGGCTACATCTTCACTATTTTGAATAAATGTTTACATCAATAAGTTCCTCTATATATAGAGAACAATCTCACAATTACATGAGATAAATATGGCATGATAACTTTATAACCAAGTAACTAGGTCTCTATCTACTAGATACCTAACCTTATCAAGAGATATATATCCATCTGCTAGATACCTAACCTTATCAAGAGATATATACCCATATATCTATAATGATGCATATCAATATAAACCCTAGATATCCATATCCTAACACTCCCCCTCAAACTCAAGATGCTTTGATGCAAAGCAGCTGGAGTTTGAACAATACTAAGTTGTCAAAAAAAAATGAGCAGTGATAAAATCCATGATAAATTTCACAGGTTACCATGGTCTTCCAAGAAATAACCTTTCTTGGGCTCTGAACTTTCTTCAAGGTTTTGTTAAGATATGGATGTCTCGGGTTCATATTGATATACATCATTATGGATGTATGGGTATATATCTCTTGATAAAGATAGGTATCTAGCAGATAGAGACCCAGTTACTTGTCATCAACTAGGATCAATAAATTCGATCATCTTCATCTCTTCATCTGAAGACTGGAACTCTTGATCAATATGACCAAGTAACTGGGTCTCTATCTGTTAGATACTTAACCTTATCAAGAGATATATACCCATACATCCATAATTATGTATATCAATATGAACCCGAGATATCTATATCCTAACATTGTGAACCTTAGTTAAGGCAATGTCTAAGTTGGGCACTACTTGGAAGCATGGACAAAGAAAAATTAACTAAGTGTAGGTTGTAAGGCACCAGATAAAAGGAAGGGCTTGGTTTTCGGCCAGTTCAGATTTCAGAAGAAAAAATATCTAAGGTTGTATTTGATAAGTGGGAGTTAAATGTCCCCCTGTTGATACAACTGTGTAAAAGCTGTAAAGTGGAAGGGTGGCCTTCCACACAACTCTTTTTTAGTGTTAAAATAAGTTCATTTTTAGAAGACCTTCCTTCCATAAAAAATGATGGAAGAGAAGGAAGTTTTCCATAATTTGTAGGAGAGCCCCTTCCACTCTAAAAACAACTACATGTGTTGAACGCACCCTAACTGTCCACACTCTAGAAGTGTAGTCAATTGATTTGTGAGATATGTATTGGGACCAATTGGGGGCATGGCCCACTGTGGACAGGAAAAACACATTCAGTACCAGTAATAAATATGATCTCCATTATTTGGGTATCTGGCATAACCAGCAGTTCTTGTGGCACTCCTCATAGTTCCCTGAAATATATCGTCTTTTTTTTTTCTCTTTTTTTTCAAGCTCTGGTGTGGTTGGAAGGGGAGAAATATATACTAAAAAGGAGTTCCACAAAATATGGGAGTGATCCATTACCACTCGAAGTTCTTCCCATATCTAACAAGATTCTAGTGAAGGAATAGGTGACTGGTAATTTTTCATCCTCATCACTAAGTCAGCACCATTGAGGCTGAATCCCACTCCAATGTTTTAAAAAAAAAAAATAGGATCGGTGATGCGAATGGCCTCTCTATGATGTGGCAACGGTAGGGTTAGAGCGGTTAATTATGATACAAAAAAATTTGTACAATAATAAAAAAAAATAAAAATTCATGGAACTAGGCTTGGTTCCTTAACATTACCGATCAGTTTTGTCAGCGAATTTTGAGGTACCAATTTGGTTATAATGATTCGTGATAACCAATTCATGATTCAGATCGGTTGGTTCTGATCAGTATTCTTTAATACTTTGAGGCAGATTGTATCTTTTCCTGTGAAGATTATCCAAAGTTAGGGTTCTATTGAATATCACTAAACAAGTGAAGGGTTGTACTTTGCGAGTGGTTTGTGCGAGGCAAGCTTTAGAGTGGTGGATGGAATACTAGAGTAGAAGATTCCTATGGTACGAGATGTGGACCATACAATCCATTGGAATAAAGTTTATCATTCTTGTGAGAATCGCAACCTCCAACTCTGAAATTGAGATTCCTATCTTTTTAATATTGTGCACCCAACCTATTGGAACACTTGGGAAATCATCAAGAAAGGAGTCCGAGAGTACAAAAGCTTTGTTGTTCTAGAGTTTCTTTAGTCATGAATCCCTTATTAATGGAATCGATGTACTGAGCATGTTTAGCGAGGATTCCCCTAATATTGAGATTGAGGTCCGGACAATCCTAAAGACCTAAATGGGGTTCCCCCGGTGTTGAAATCTATATATTTAGTGGCCCTAATCATGGTTTCCCACATGTATTAGATCAAGGTCGAGTGCCCTCAAAACTAGATTTGAAGTTTATTGAGGTTTTAGATTGAACAAAAAAAAGAAAAAATGCTTGATTTATTAAAATGAAATATAAAAAAAATAAGATATTGTTTTTGGGTTCTCAAAATTCAGATGTCAAGCAAAATTTGTAGACACCCATAGAGTTTTTACACTAATCATATATTAATTAAAATCATAGCATATTTCACTAAGACATTAGAGAATTCTTTGCAAAACACACAAATATTATCTTATATATACTTGAAAATGAGATTTTATTTTATATACATATATATATGAATATATACTTTGAGACTATTTATCTTTGTTACAAGGAGGTCACAATTACTTTTGCCCATTAGATGTCAAATTGGTTGACTTTGGGTGTGTCATAAAGTTTGAGATTTTTTTTTTTTTTTTAACTTTGAGTCTAGTTAATGACAATTTACAACCACTTGATTTGAAATTTGAAAAACATCAATAATTGTGACCTCTTATGTATTGAATGATTTCATGCCAACGTGTCATTAGAATATAACGAAACCATACCTCTGGAAAATCATGTTTATAGCATTTGTAAGACCCAAATTTTGCACACACACTCCCTTCATCCCAATAATCAATCCCAAAAGAAATAAAATTCAATTTGTATCCTAGATATGGTCAAAATGAGTCCTCACCAACAATGAATCTCGTCCATTCATTTGGTGCATTTCAAGATCTAATCCATAAAGAATTTAAAATTTCTTTTGTCTTATTTAACATCATTAATCTAATGATAACAAAGATATCTAAAAATTTTGGAAAGGAAAAATGTCCTTCTAAGGCCTAGATCTAATAATCTCGCAAAAATTGACAACTTATATCAACTGAGATAAAAAAATCATTTTCTAGAGTGTGTTTTCAAAAGTTTCTTTTCATGATTGTTCATTAGAAATAAAAAGTGTAGATTTAAAGATTGAGGTCAAATAATTGACCCTAACATGGTTTTTAAAATTTGTTGCATTATATTACCATGCAACAATCATTGCATGAAATCACTCAGCATATGAAAATGAGATTTTGTATTCGACATATATGCTTGAAATGAGATTTTTCCGAACCTTGACTCCATACAACTTAGATCGATATTCTTAAAAATTGGAAGCCGGATTCCGTGTTGATGTAATCATGGTTTTGTGCACTTAGGACTAAGGTATTTGATACTATACAACATGGATTCTAAAAAAGTCTGATATCAAGATTCTACAAAGGTAGAAGTGAGTTTTCTATTGGATTCTTAGAATGGGGATGAAATCGTGGTGATAGTACCACTTGAGTCCCAGCTAAAAGTCATGCTCTCCATTTTCACGTACATTTCAAAAAAAATTGACTCTTTCTGAATGGGTAGGGGCTGTTATCCCTACTTATCTATCAAAAAAAAAAAAAAGTAGCTGGTTCTATGAAAATCCGTTTACCAAATCCACTAAATTGACATTCCGAAATGGAATCGTCACCCGAGATGATTCCGGCAGCCATCTCTTGGTCGTTTAACGGTCTTGTAAAGGAGGGAATCAAGCTTGATTTTGTGAACTGTGCTCAGAACATTGTGCTCACATGACGTCAGGGTGTGGTGTAAAGGCAAAAAGGTTTGGCCAAAAGTCGTTTACGCGTTGTCATGATTACTTGGCCAGAGCGCTTATTTCGACACGCCTACAGAAATGTAGGCTCTTGGGCAGATTCTTTAGGTAAAAAGGCCGTGTCTTTGTCTATGCTTTTGGATTCTGATGATATAAATATATTGTAATATTTTTTTTTAGAGTAATAATTTTATTAACATTGGTTAAAAACATAAAAAAAAACTTTATATTACTAAAATAAAGCACATCTCAAAACTATGCTGAAAGATACAGTTTCGATAAGCTATGTGATAGCATGAAAATATATTGTCACCTATAATTATAAAATTTAAAGCTGAAAAAAATTATGCACATTGAACAAATTTTAGAACAATTAAAAAACAACCAGCCAACTGATCTATCTCTCTCTCTATGTTTGATTTACTGATATGTCTCTCTCTCTATGTTTGATTTGATATACATTTTAAGTGGTTTCAGTTTCATTGGCTTGTGAATCCTGTAAGGTGTAAATCACTTCGGGCCCATGGATATAAAATCAAGTAGCTAAAAGTGTACCACTCATTGGGCTCACATTCTTAAAACTAAAAAAATTGAACTTTTAGGTACACTCAAGCGGTCAAATACAATTAAAGTAAGGACCTTCAAATTTTATAAAAAAAAAAAAGTTGTTTTAGCATTGGAAATCTTTGTGATTTGTGATGGCCTGAAAATTTATTTTCATATCTAATTATAAAATTTAAAGCTCCAATATCATGTAGATCATACAGATTTGTAAAAGCTTGTAAATCTTAAAAATTGACGGCTCAAAAAATACATTACAACATGCAATATTTCCAATACTGGAAATCTATTTGCTCTCATGTCCATACATCTTGAGGACGAGATGATCGATTTGAAAAAAAATTGGGCACCGAATCGACCTCTTCTAATGAATTTTTGAGGTGCACCTTAATTTGATTTTTTAAAGCTTTGCTTTGATATAAACTTTTTCCTTCTAACCTCCGGTACCAAAGCTAAGGGGTCCTATATTATACAGTCTCCGAAAAATAAAGTCCAAATCTTCGATTCGTATGGTCCAATGTATTGAAACTACCAGTGCATTCAAACTTTTCGATGGCAGTATTGTCCAATTGATGAGTGAAGTTGCAAAGCAATGGTGGGTTGTAGTCAAATCTAAAGAAGAACGCGGCCCGGCGGCTTTCTCTATTACCCCAATTGGGGAAGACTGGTCGCTGGAACGGTTGCCGCTATGGCAAGTCTCACTTCTCGAAAAACATAAAAGGTCGCAATGGGCGGGGTTGGCCCACGTTGTCCGGTTGGTCCGACCCAAAAGAATTAAGGCCTGACCACAAAAAAGTGGCGCGGCTTGATGGCTAGGCCAGGGCCCAGCCACCATGGCCAAGTGGCGACAAGGCCGGTCCAGTTTCGTCCGGCCCGACCCTCTTTTTCTGTAAGTTTTTATTTTCCAAATAAGGCTAGGCCCTGGCATGGGCCAGGCCTCCTTGGCCCGGTCCGGACCTTAGCCGGCCCTATGGGGAACAGGGCCGGGCGCAGGCCTGGGGAGGTAAACGTAAACAAAACCTTATCATACAAATAAAAATAAAAATAAAAATAAAAGATTTGTAAGAGGTGCTTCCAATACCATACGACTGTTGAAAACCATTCAAGAGAGATCTTATGGTGTAGATTGATTTGTTTTATTTTAGAGACTTTGAAACAAAGTCGTTCGTAATGTCTTCCCTCCATGGTCGGTTGGAAAATTGAACTAGAAAATGGCTCCAAATTGATAACTATAAATATGAAATTCCATGAGATTTTCATACAGAGCGAAAGCCTTCATCTAACTTGGAAACCAGGCCAAAATGGCTAACGATCATCGCAGAATGTTCGAACCAAGGGCCATCAAGCTGTTCATGTTTGCTCTAGTTCTCATAGTGAATCAAGCTACAATGGCCCAAACCATGAACAATGAAGAGACAGTCGACGAGATTGGGGTTATCTTGGATTTGAGGACACGTGTGGGGAAAGAGATAAAAACCAGCATGGAAATGGCCATTAGAGACTTGCAGGACTCCAGGCACTCAAGGGTGGTGTTGATGCACTTGAGGGACTCGCATGGAGATCCTGTCGAAGCTGCCTCAACGGGTAAAAACTTTCTACTGAGTTCCTCTTTAAATGGTATAGGGAGTTCCTATAATTTAAGACTATGAAAATAGCCTTCCTTAGATGATGAATCACCACCAATGATACAGAACCCTTTACTGACAGGAAACTAAGTCTATGAACCCCACTCTGATGGTTTCGGTCCCAACAGGTAAGGCAGCCTATTTACAAGGTTAACCGATAACGTTTGGATAGGAAGTAACAAATAAAATTCATTTAAGTGCTCCAAATTGAAATTTGCGCTGTCCAACAACTGAATTTAGGAGAATCGTTCTCTTATATGAGTGTTTTGTCGTAATCACTAGGTTAAGTTAGCCGGGGAGCTTGAAATATCTGCTTATAATCATAATTTATTACTTGACAGTTTTAATTTTGTAAACTTACCATATATCCCTCCCTAGTCTCGCATTTTAAATGCCAGACTAAAGTTTTACATGGTAAGTGAACTTTACTCTATGGCTTAGGTCAGAGGGAAAATACATGAAAGCAAACATACCATTATTCTCTCCATAATCCAGAACTTGAATTGCTGAACTGAAGTTTAGAGAGAATTTTGAAATTGTATCAAATTCTAGAACTCAAAAATATGTGTGCACACATGGATGAGCCAGAAAGCCAAAAGTAATGCAGTTATCCCCATAGATGGTTTTACATGTATCCACATTCTGTTGTGACGCCCTTCAATTGCAAAGGAGAATTCTAATGCTTGTTTCTTCAGCTGTTGATCTCATCAACAACCAGAGCGTCAAGGCAATTGTGGGTTTGCAAACAAGGGATGAAGCTGCTTTTGTGGATCAACTAGCTACCATGGCACAGGTACCAGTGCTCTCCTTCTCACGTCCTTACCCTCCATGCACAACCTGCCATTCAACCCCAACCTTCCTCATCCACATGGCCTACAATGACTCACTACAAATGAGAGCACTGGCTGCAATAATATCCTCTCATCAATGGAAACTTGTCAATGTTATTCATGATGAGGCTGACTCCACTACTGGGATCTTCCCTTTTTTAAATGAGGCCCTCTTGTCGGTAGGAGCAAAGATTGAGCAACGATCAGTTCTTCCCACAAGAGCATCATTGCATGACATGACAGGCACTGTGAGAAAAGACCTTCAACGGTTGAGGGCAACACAATCTCGGGTTTTTGTGGTTCACATTACTTCCATGGATCTCGCTAACTTGTTGCTTGTAGAGGCAAAGAGAATGGGGATGATGAATAATGAATGTGTGTGGCTTATCACTGACCCTCTTACTGCCCTTCTCGACTCTATGGATTCAGCTTCCATTTCTTTGATGCAAGGGGTTATTGGAGTCAAAACTTCATTCATCCATAAAACCCATGAAACCCGAGAATTCTTTTTGAGGTTCAGGCAACAATTCTTGTCAGAATATCCAGAGGAAGAACGAGCTAATCCAAGCATCTATGCGCTCCATGCCTATGATTTGATCATGGTTCTTGCTCAGTCCATGAAGAGTGTTGGAGCCAAAAGAGAGAATAACTCCATCATAACATGGGTCCAGTCTCACAATGCAACAAAGAGAGCTTGGGATTTAAGGGTGTCTCTTGATGGCCCACAGTTAATCAAAGAGATCACATCCAATGTATCAAGAGGATTCAGTGGGGATATAAACTTCGCAAATAAAGAGTTGCATAGCTCGATTGTTCAGATCATTAATGTAGTTGGACAAGGCTATAGAGACATTGGGTTTTGGAGTCCTGAGACAGGTTTCTCAAGAGATGAAAAGGCCAGCGAAGGAAAAAGTACATCAATAAACAATACTCCTTCACCACTTATCTTCCCAGGGGGTCCTTCTGTAACCTTCCCCAAGGGGTGGGTAGTGCCAAGTGATGGCAAGAAAATGAGGATTGGAGTGCCTTTAAAAACCGGTTTTAAGGAGTTTGTGGAGGTGAAACATAACAAGACTCTTAATACGACGGAGTTCAGGGGCTTCTGCATTGATGTTTTTTACAGAGTTTTAGATATTTTGCCATATGAACTTCGTTATGAATTCATCCCTTATGTTGGCTCATATAACGATCTTGTTTATGAAGTAAACCAAAAGGTAATCTCTCTCTCTCTCTCTCTCTCTCTCTCTCTCTCTCTCTCTCTCTCTCTCTCTCTCTCTCTCTCTCTCTCTCTCTCTCTCTCTCTCTCTCTCTCTCTCTCTCTCTCTCTCTCTCTCTCTACTC